ATTTCCCTGCACTCCTGGTGAATTCCAAGTAGATTCCACCAAGACCAAAACACGGTCAGAGAGACCAGAAAGCTCTTTAATTGTTCCAGTGTGATTAAAGACCAGGCTGCCTTGCGGCATCCCTGCAGATTGGCCGAATGCTTTTCCTACCTGCCCAGAGCCTCAGGTTTGTCCGAATGGGTGCACCAGTCACCTAACTCCAGGCCAAGTCCGCTGACCTGCTTCTCTCATGCACGCTCCTCGTGGATGTGTGTGTGCTGAATTCAACAAGGACACATGGGACTGGGGAAAATAGACATGTGTTATGGCTGCCCCCACTGGTGCAGAGCACTGACAAGTTTTAATTAATTCCAGAGCAACCTTGTGAGAGTCAGTTCTCCCAACATGCTCTGGATGTGAAAACCTGGGGCAGAGAAATTGAGATACCTGAGATACTAGACTGGGCCACGGGAGAAGGGGTCGCCACACCGTGCCCACCTCTCCTCACCCGCCCAAGGCTGGAGCCTGCACTCGCACCTTACCCTAGGAGAGCTGGAATGGACGTTACCCTGTAAAGTCACCAGGTAACAGGTCTATGCTGATGGTTCACTGGTTCCACTTACCACAAAGTAAGGAGCCTCGTGTACCGGATTTGTGCTTTTAAGTCTGCTTCGTGTCTGTACAATGCCTGGGGGATTTCAGGCCCCTGAAAAGTCCTATTCGTCCATCCTTTTGAATTCTTAGGTTTGTAATCATTAGCACACAGATTCCCAAGGACAGAGATGAGGTATGCAGTACATAAGCCAAAATAACTGACAAGGAAGACGATGCTAATATAGAAAAAAATCAGTGCATCCACAAAAATGCAAAGCCCGTTGCCTAAATCATTCGAGGGAGGAGAGTCATGAAAATGCAAGGACTCTCTGACTCACTTGCCTAGGAAGTCCATGACATCTGACGACCACTACACGCCGGTCTTGTTGAGACGCCATGGTGTGTGGTGTGAATAAACACACTCGTGGTAGGATCACAGGCTCTTTCCGACATGCGCTAAGCCCAAGATAAGGGTGAGTCTCACCAGTGCACGGACTCCCCTCGGGGCCTGGCACCCGGGCACACAGACGGAGCAGCCCCGTGTCCCGGCTAACACCTGAAGTCCCAGCCCGGTCATCGAGGTGCTCCCGTTCCCTTTCAGTAAGTTATGCGGCCACCCCCCTGACAAAGCAAAGGGCATTACTGAGCACTGGGTCCCACAGGACACTGAGGACTTGTTAAAGATGAATATTTGGGGGCGTGAATCAAATGGTCCCATTTCTTACGATTTTTGTTGGTTTGGATTTCTGATTATTCTTTAAAGACACCCAATCACCACCAGTATTCTCTCTGGGCAGGGTTTTCCTGTCAGGCAGTTCTCACCTGTACCCAAGAGGGGGCGCCGAAGAGGCCCAAGGGGGTGCTCCCAGAGACGCCCCCAGTGGCCTCCTCCAGGGGCACTTGCTTATTTCAATTTCACGTGCACAATAAGACACTTTTCAACACGAAGGGTGGAAGATGCAACCCTTTTCTACAGAAAGCTCGGTTTCTTTACCTTTTATAGGTCTTGTCTTCCACTTTTTTTTCTTGCCTTTGGTCTCAGAAAGTTGCCATAAAGGTGCCTACTAGTTTTTAAGACATCGACTTCCACAGCTGAATGTACTGCCTGACGCTCATAATCAACTGACAGTACTGAGTATCGCTGACAAACACCTCAGTGCCATGGTACTGAGGAAACCTTGCCTCGGACAAGCATCGGCTCCTAGTCAGTTCAGCATAAGAGTGAAGTAACAGGATCAAGAGAAAAGGAATGAGGGGAAGCTGTCGTAAACGTAAGGTGTCTGGCTAGTTTTGTTCTCTGGCCAGGGCTGGCCACGTCAGGCAAGACCATCAGTAAGCAACGCTAGAAAACAACCTGCCCCAAGAGTCCAGAAGTGTCCCTAACTCAGCCTTAAAAGAAGGAAAAGTGCAGTTGCCTTTGTTTAAAAATAAAAAACAAAGCTGTATTTTTACAGTGTCTCCATGTGCCTGGACAATGTGAACTACAGACTGTATGGAATGTCTGAAAACTATGGAAGCACAAGGGTCGCAGTCCCCGAGACACGTAGGGGCGCGGGCTGAGGAAGGCACGGAGGAGGTGCTGGCACGGAGTGAGAAGTGCGGAGGGAAACATGGCGGGGCGGTGCCAGAACGGGACCACCCCTGGGGGAGGTGGAAGCAATGCTTTGGAAGATGGCTCAATGTTTTTGGAGTTTGCTTCCACATGAAATCCCACCATGGAAGTGCCTGAGACAAATGTGCAAACGTGCTCCTAAACCTCAGAGAAGCAGGCAGCCACCGGGGCAGAGCAAGGTGTGGATGTGAGCTTGCCACAGGAACCCGAGCAGGGCCGGGGGAGCGCGGCAGGCCTCACACACCTACCTCACTGGGCTGCCCCACCACACCTGCTGCCCGAGATACACACAGCTCACTGTGCGCCGGCGCCACGGGGTCAGGCCCCAGGCTGCCCAGGCCTGTCGCCACACCTGTGCACACCCTCTCCTGCTGCCCTGCCCATCATGTCTGTGCCACAGGATGCAGGGCGCCAGCTGTGCTGCCACTGCTTGGTGATGTGGTGACAGCGGCAACCCAAACCCATGAAGGCAGAAGGGCCCAAGGAAAGGTGGAGACGGGTCTTGGCTGGACCCCTGGGCCCTCGGTAATTCATCCACACCTGCTAGGTCAGGCAAGAGCCAGGGCTACTTCCTTAGAGGTCAGCACTTGACACACCCAATGCAGGCGTGATAAGTTCTAGTCCCTTAACATTAGAGCACTCATATTGCAAGAGCACTTACACAGCCCATGAATCTCTCTCTCTAAATGTGATCAGTTCCAACAGGGCAGACATACTGTGCACCCACCGACCTTCCATGAATGACGCTGACACCACACTGTGTGAGCCTGGAAAGGCCGGTCAGGAGGAATGCTGCCCCACATGGGCTTCCCCACAGCGGCACAGGCCAGGTAGACAGTGGGATGCTCAGGAGGAAGGAATCCGCGCTGAGGGCCAGCACTGCGCATGCGCCCTCCAGGCTACTCTGGCACCCATGGCCCTGGGACCGGGCTCTCCCACGGGGCCACTGAGTGAGCCTGTCCTTTAGCGTGGTCACTGACACCATCAGAGCAGCAGGGCCTCTGCCTGTCTGAGTGGCCCTCACGCACACGCAGTGGCTTATACAGGAGTGAGTGTGCCCCTGACCACTGATGTGCCAATGCCTCCAAACACTGGGCTAACCCTGACAACACTTCCAGCTGGACCCTGCTTATCTGCACCATCACCATTTCTAGCCTAAAACCCACACACCCGCACCGTTCAGGTGAGCAGTGCGTGAAGCTCATCCTCACGCTAGACATGAAACCACTAACCCTGATGCGGTTGCCTTTTTGTGAATGAACTCTAACATAAATCCGTCTCAATCTGCGTTTTCTTTTTTCCACCCTTTTCCCATGGTGCATGTGAACTGTTTGCTAATACCGTGCAATCATTTTGTGCATTGACAAAAGGGAATGTTGACTATGTTCTGATTTTTCCTATTAATGAAGCAGCTAAAAACATTACCTCAGCCTTTTTCTTTTAGTTGGAAAAATAGCTTGGTTATTTACAAAATGAAAATAAAATAATTTTCTTTAATGAATGTTTAAATCAGACCATTACTATATATTTCACTAACTGAAAGCAAAGGACAGTGTTGAGATTAAAGAAAAATTTTGCTCCTTTTAGTAATATTGTCATTTGAAATTTGGAAAACTTGCATCCTTGTACAAGTAGTGTCTTTAATGCAAGTTCCTTCTAGTGACAAGATTATAAGCTGGATAACTGCAACTTACAGAACTGAGCCTCCGTTAACCAACAGCGTCCCTCTGTCACATTTGGAGGATCTCATTTGAGTAGGAAAGCTCTGTGAATACGAATCTGAAATGTGCCCCCCACCTTCTCTCACCAGCTTTTCCTATGTGTTTAGGCTAATAACCCTGTTCACCATCTCAGGTTCCTCACCATAAACTGGGTGCCTGAGGCCTCCTACCCCATTCAGG